CCACCTGGAAGGACGCATATTTGGCAAAGACATGCTTGTTGTCTAATTCAATCAGGTCGACACGCAATTCATTCTTTCCTAGGAGGAAGAAAACAGCCGTTTGGTTCAGTTGGCGCACTGCCCAGTCACCAAAACTCACAGCCCTGCAGGTATGTTTCTCTGCTGCCTCCTCCATCCCCAGAGGAGGCTGTGGGTCCCCTTGAGGCTCTTCCCATTGAGGGCCCTGCGCCCCTCTCCCCTGGCAGCAGGAGGGTTCAGGGCTACAAGGGGAAGCCCCTCACCCAGCGAAGTCAAGCAGTGAAGGTTGTCATTCCCCAGCCAGAATTCGGTCCTCTGGTTTCCAAATCCTTTCTTGTAGGCAGCCCAGTCCTGGAAAAAGTCCACCGAGCCATCCGACCGCTTTTGGAAGACCTGAGAGGAAGAATCGGGACCCCTAACCTTCCAGCTCAGCAGGCCCCCAAATCTTCCCCCTTACCACATTTTAGTGGTTCCCAGAACTGGCCTCCCAGGACTCCTTGCCTCAGGAAAGATTCAGGTTCAGGTTCATCCCATTCCTGGCAAGCAGCAAAGCTACAACCCCTCCACCACACTCACAATCCATCCACCTCCATCGGTGTTCATGTCGCACAGCACCTTCAGGGGCTGGCAGTTCTGGGGGTAGATGATGTACCAGTCGCTCAGGATCATCCCTCTTTTCAAGAGTTCTTTGCAGTTTCGGGCACCTGGGCAGAAGGACACAAAGGCATAAGGAGTGGCATTATTTTGAATGCCACTCCTCCACCTCTCTCAGTCCTGAGGGGCCAGCTCAGTGGCTGCAGCCGGTTGGCAGCAGGCAGCCGGCCGGTTGAACGGACCAAGTGGTTTCAGTGTGGGGTTGCAAGTTGGGAATGGGGGCTTCCCCTTAATATTGGGTGGGTGCCCAGGATCGTCCACCCCTCCAGAAATGGTTTTGGAGGAGTAATTTTTCTTTTAAGGATGAAATCCAGAGGTGGGTTGCTTCCGGTTCGGACCAGTTCTGGAGAATCGGTAATGGTAATTGGGTGTGGGTCACTAAACCAGTAGTGATGGCTGGCTGGCCACACTCCTGATCCAGCTTACTCCAACGCTTGCCCTGACTCGCCTTCGCCACATGCATCCACACAACTGCCTCCTCCTGCTTACACACAGGGAAGCAGCTTTCGCGGTAACCTTGTTCCCCCCTCCCCACCGGCCAGTGTCTCCTGAAGCCGCAGCCATTGCAGCCTGGCAAGCTTCGCATGCTTGAGAGAGTGGCAGCAGGGGGACAGGGCAGTGGCAGGAGAGGGCAGCAGGCTCAACTGCAGCCCAGAGTAGCCGAAGAACTGCGTGGAGCCTCCTGCATCTTGTTCCCCCCTCCCCACTGTCTGCAGTTTGGGCCCCACCTGGTCAGCTGGGCAGGAAAGTGGTGACCAAGCAGGCAAGCAGCTGGGACTGGCCTGGCCTCTGTTCAACAGGGGCAGGGGCAGCCAGCGGTAAGGGAAACAAGCCCCGGGCTTGCATCATTTCCTCCGTCCTCCAAGAGCCGCGGCAGTGGGGAAAGAGAGGTGAAATGGGAGGCGCCCCGCTGGCACAAGCTCCGTGTGGAAGGTGAGGACACAGCAGTGGGGGAGGCTGGCTGTCCCCCAAGCTGGCTCTTGGAGGAAGGAGGCAGGGACGCTGGCCCGGGGCTCACATACTTTACCACTCGCCGCCGCCCGCCCACTCACCACTTTCCCAGGAAGGGCCTTGGGAGGCTTCACTGAGCAGTCCCAGAGCTGCGTCGAGGCTTCCCCACTGGGAAACCCCACCCACTGCTTTGGCAAGGACCGAGCCCACAGGCAGCCTTTTTGGGAGCCTCGTGGCTCACCCTCGCCTCACCTGACCTCGCCTGACTCCCTTCTGAAGTTAGGAAGTGGCAATTCACCCCTGAGATGCTGCAGAAGCCCAGGCTTGGTGGCCAGAAGACCCTCGGCACCCATTCCTTCAAGTGGGGGTCCCTTCAAGTGGGGTCCGAGCTGGCCACAGGGTGGGGGGGGCTCCAACCACCTCATACCCCGGGAGCTGCCACATTCCATTGCAGGCACCCAGGGTGGCCTCAACTCCCACCTCCCCACTGCCTCCAGCCCCGCTCAACCTCCCCACCANCTGATGGTCTTCAGGTATTCCAAGGGGATAAAATCTGCCAGCCTTTGGCAAAGAGGCCTCTGAGCACTCCCTCCACAAAAGCTTGGCACATTTTAGGTGGTTTATCCCAGCACTCGCCTGCTGAGGCTAACAAGAACAAGGAATTCCAGCTGTTGGGGTCCAGGAGGAGGGTCTTCTCTACCTTGGCTCTTGTCCTTTGGAACCCCCCTTCCCCAGAAGTGGACTCTGATATTCTTCAGGAGCCCGAAGGCCTGGTTCTTCCAGATGGCATGGAGCCCTGAAAGTGAGCATCTCACCTGTTGGAAGAAATATAACCATCTGGTTCAGTTCCAAGTGTGGGGAAAGAGACTGGAAACATGGAGGCTGATTGGAAAGATGGTTTATTGATGGACAGGACCACATGTGTTTGAAGTCCTTGGTAGCCGAACACATGGAGTGGAGAGTGAGGGTTATTGATACCCTCTCTTGGGCTTTGCCATTGAGCTTCCTGTTCCTGTGGCAAGGACATGTAGTCTATTGGTTGCTGACAGTCTCCCATGGGGCCAAGTGGGTTCACATTTGTCTGAATCAAGTTTGGTTGAAGCCTGGAGGGTGACGCAATGTCCCCAGGTGATTTTGTAATGCAGTGAGCCCTGCTGCTGGATAATCCTATAGGGAAGAGTCAGGCATCCCAGCAGAAGGAGGGAGGCGTCTTTCTCGGATGTGCTGATGAGCCATGATGGACTCCGATATAGGTGAGAAAGTATCTACAGACCCTTGACATCCTGGACATAAACTCTTTCCACTCCTTTCCTCAGGAGCCACAACAAACCATTCCATGGCAAGACAGGTAGATACAAAGACCGTCTCCTGCAAAGTCCCCTCCCCTTTCGCTCCTCTTTATTCCCTATGGGAGGGGCCATTCACCATCCACCTGTGCCTTTATTCTTGAGTCGGCCCTTGCTCCTTAGCTGTCCCCTTCTCCTGGCAACTCTGTGAATGCACACAGGCTCCAGCTGTTTTTCTACCCCACTGATGACTGGTTCTGAAGGAAGCTGATAACTGTCAAAGGGCCCCGGCCCCATCTCTTCCTCCTATGCAGAGCACTCACCAGAGCCTTCCCCAGACTCCAAGACTGGCCCATGCTCCTCCCCAACCTCCTCACTGTCTGAGTCGGCCACCAGCTCCACTGGCCGCTGGTGGGCCACAACAGTATGCACACTGAGAGCTTCTGCACCAGATACAAATTTCTCATGCATCCAATCACGCTTGGACAATAAAGTGTTGTGTTGTGTTGTGTTAGCTGCCAAGCATCTGAATCTTGATCTCATAACCTTGGGGATGCTACAATGGTCATAATTGTGAAAAACAGTCATAAGTCATCTTTTTTGATGAGTTCCCCTTCTGTTCCCTCATCTACATCATTTAGGAAGATATTGAAGAGTACTGTGCCTAAGACGGAACTTTGTGATACCTCATTGCTTATTTCCCGCCATGTAGCTGTCGTACCATTAAGAACTCTTCCTTGAGCACAGTTTGTCAGCCATACAAATCTATCTTATGGTCATGCTGTTTAATCCCACATTTTTCAAGTTTACCAAGAAGCAGGTTGTGGTCTACCTTGTCAAATGCCTTGCTGAAGTCTAAGTATATTGTTTCCACAGCTTTTTGCTGGTCTACTAATTTAGCCACTTTGTCAAAGAATGAAATCAGATTGGGAGAAAGACATGAGACAAAATGGAGGATGGAGGCTGGTTGGAAAGATGGTTTAGTGATGGACTGCCCTTCAAGGGCTGCCCTTGAAGAGTGTTTGAAGACTTCAGTTAGTCCANACATGTTTCTTCTTTAGAAGAAAAATTGCTCCTCCAGCCCACTCACCATGTTAAGAGAAGCCCCCACCCACAACTTGTAACCCCACACTGCAACCACTTGGTCTGCTAACCGGCTGGATGCCTGTTGTCAATTGGCTGCAGCCACTGAGTCGGCCCTTCCGGACTGTGAAGTGAGGGGTGTTTTGGCAAAGACCCTGGCACAGAGAGCGCCAACCTCTCCTGCCCTCTTTCTGCCCAGGTGCCCCAAACTGCAAAGAGCTCTTGAAAAGAGGGATGATCCTGAGCGACTGGTACACCATCTATCCCCAGGACTGCCAGCCCCTGCAGGTGCTGTGCGATATTGTCACCGACGTAGGCGGATGGATTGTGAGTGTGGTGGAGGGCAGCTCTTTTCCATGTGTAGCCAAGCTGTACCACCCTGCCTTGAAGGGGGCCTTCCCTGGGGAAGAGAGTTATACCCTATGGCAGACACACCCAAGATTGTACCAGAAACTGAGTCTGGAGCAAAGATTTGGGGTCCTGCTGAGCTGGAAGGTGAAGAGTCCTGATTCTCCCCCGCAGGTCTTCCAAAGGCGTTCGGATGACTCCGTGGACTTTTTCCGTGACTGGGCTGCCTACAAGAAAGGATTTGGAAACCAGCTGACCGAATTCTGGCTGGGGAACGACAACCTTCACCGCTTGACCTCGCTGGGTGAGGGGCTTCCCATTGCAACCCTGAACCCTCCTGCTGCCAGGGGAGAGGGGCTCAGGACCCTCACCGGGAAGAGCCTCAAGGGTTGTGCACCACATGACCCACGTGGCTGTTTTCTTCCTCCTAGGAAAGAATGAATTGCGTGTCGACTTCACCAATTTTGAAAATCAGCATTCCTTCGCCAAATATGCATCCTTCCAGGTGACGGCAGAATCCGACCGGTATCGGCTAACTCTGGGAGTCTTCACAGGTGGCTCTGCAGGTGAGTCCCTGACAAAGTCCAGCATTCTTCTCCATGAGCCTCTTGGAATTGGGCAGTGCCAGTCAGGCCAATGAAGGCCTCCCTGGAGATGCTTTAGGCTGGCCTTCCATGCACCCATCCCCCCTCTCTTCCTCCCAGGTGACTCCCTCTCCTACCACAACAACATGCCCTTCTCCACCAAGGAAAAACGGCAGGACCCCCGGAAGTTCAACTGCGCTGAGAAGTGCCAAGGGGCCTGGTGGTACCATGAATGCCACCACTCCAACCTCAATGGGAGATACTGGCTGGGAGAACACAAGACTCGCGGGAACGGCATCAACTGGGCTACTGGGAAAGGCCCGTACTACTCGTACAAGCGCTCCGAAATGAAAATCCGGCCTGTGGCTTAGGCTGTTCCTTCAGGCTGATGGGCCTTTTTCTTTCTGAGGGTTTCCAAAGGGCATCTAGTCCATCCCCTCTGCTTTTGATTTGTTACCTTGATAGAGAGCTTGCATTTTACAAAATTCACATGATTAAATGATCTTGCAGAGTTGGGGTGGGTGGGCTTTTCCATTTGTTCCCCTTCAGGTCCACTGGAGTTGGGCAGTCAATGAATTAAATAAATACTGTAAATAAATAAATAAAGATATGATCTTTAATCCAGCTGACGGTCTCCAAGTTTCCTTTATTCCAAGGGGATAAAAATCTGCCAGCCTTTGGCAAGAGAAGAGCTTTCATTAGCAGATTTTTAAATTATTTTTTCCCTTCTACAACATCT